GCGGTGGGAGGAGGAGGGGCGGGAGGCGGGCTCTTCACACTGCCTGCCTCCCCTCCCCTCCCTCTCTCCCTTCCTTCCTTTCTTGTTTTGCTTTTTGGGGATTGGATATCACTGTGTAGCTGGCCTGGAACTGAAGGCAGCCTCCTGCCTCAGCCTCCCGAGCGAGTGCCAGAAATCATTTCTGCAGCAAGACCAACGTGGGCTGCTGCTCCGACCCAGGTGCCCAGGAGGAGGAAGGCACCGGGTTTGCAGACTGGGGCCTGCTCTCGGGGTCTCCGTGATACCAGGGTAGCCCTGTCCCTGCTCACTTCCCAAGTAAAGCTGTCTCCTCTGTAGATCTGTGCTTTTCTTCTAATTCCCACAATTACTAAAAGCACGGGCTCACCAGTCGCAGAGGGGCGTGCCCACCCGCCCACACTCGGGAGGCTGAGGCAGGAGGGTTCCTGTGACTTCCAGCCAGCCTGGGCTCCGAAAATCTGAACAAACGAACGAACACACGGGCCTGCGCCAGCCAGCGCCCATCCCCACGGGGCCCCTGCTGGGTGCCCAGCATCCGCTCTAGGCTGGGTCACCCTGGGTCCCACGCAGAGCAAACAGCCTCTCCCCCGTGGTTGGGACACCAGGCTTGGGTTGCGGCCAGGGCTGGGTCCTTCTGGCACGAGTGGCTCTTGTCCCCGTCACATGCTCCCCACAAGACCGAGGTCAGGTCGGGGCCACCCTCCCACTGCCCCCCACCCCCCGGTCACCCACCCGTGCTGTGGCCCGGCACACAGAGGAGCAGCCAGGGCCACCTCGCCCAGCTCTTCCCCAGATGCCTGTGTTTGGAGCCCGGTCTCAGCCCCCCAGGGCCCTGCTCCAATGTGACCGCTGTGTCCTCCCTCTGGGCACCGGGCGGCTACCGTACTGTCCCTGTCCGCCGATGTGGTGTCACTGGCGCCTCCTCCTCCTCCCGCGCTCCCTGTGACATCACCCCACTCCTGCTGGCCGCCGTGTCACCCGCTCTCCGGGCATGACGCGGGCGGTGGCCACCTGCCCATCCTGTCCCTCGTCCACCCCGTCCCATGGCCGCTCTGTCCCTGTGCCCGGGCTTCAAGGAGCACCTCAGAGGTACCTGTGATCACCTTACCTCAGCCTCCTGAGTGCTGAGCTGACAGGTATGAGTCGCCTCTGTGCCCAGCTGGGTCTCACAGACTCTTGACTGGGTTTCTGGAGAAGCCCAGGGACCCGTGCACCCCCACCCTGCTCGGAAGCAGACCGCCCCTCGCAATCCTCACAGCACAGGCCAGGAACAGCACACAGCAAGGCCAGGCCTCATCCACGCTCTGGGCACTTTCCCAGCAGTTGGGAGGCTGAGGCAGGAGGATCTTCACGAGTTGGAGACCAACCTAGGCTACACAGTGAGACCCTGTCTCAAAAAGGAAACAAACAAACAGCGCAGGGATGCTTCCCCGCTGTTTTGCCCCGTTCAGTCCTGCAGAACCCAGGGCCTGACATTGTGGGCTGCAGAACTCACGGGTGGGAAATGTACGGAAAAGTCAGAACAAGCGGAAGGTCACGTGGGACTGGCTTCAGTTCCTTCTCAAGTCTCTGGGAATGAGGGCCACTTGGCCGCACAATACTGGCCTATGCGGGGACAAAATTCACTTCGTCACACAGTCCTGAGCTCCATCCCCGGTACCAAACTGAAAAAAAATTGTCTCTTGTTGCATTACCCACGGATTGCAAGAAAAGTCGGGAGCACAGGGTAGGGTCCTGTTCATTCGTGTTTGACAGGGTCTCCCTCTGTATTCCAGGCTGGCTTTGAACTCATGGAGAAGACCCTCCTGCCTCAGCCTCCCCCAGTGCCCCACCCCACCCGTGTTACGTTAACAGGGTGTTACGCCGTGGTTATTGACTGTGACTTTCACAGCCTGATCCGGTACCACTCTCGGCCTGGCACCACCTGTATCTTAGGGTCCGTCTTCCGCCTTCCCAGCCACTCCCAGCGCCCCTGGGCCTGGCCTCCGCCTGTCTCTCCACGTCTCTTCCCTTCGCTCTCCGTCTCTGGGTCTCACGAGCAGGACCCGGGCTCTCCGGCCCCCAGCAGGGTAAGGAAGACCCGGCTTCGGGACACCGCCCGGAGTCTCGGGGTCTGCAGGTGGGGAGGAGCCAGCGCCCGAGTGGACCCCAGCCCACGCTGCCCCTGCACACCCCATACGTCCAGGGTCCCCGGCAGCAGCACAGGCAGGGACTCCTGCCTTCTCCAGAGCAGCCCAGGACATGGCCCGGAGGCTGCAGTGGCTCCAAGCGTTTGCCTGGGCCTCCAGCCCCAGCCCCAGGAAGCCAAGCTCTGGCCCAGGAGGACAGGACCCTGCCTGGGCGGCCTAGAGAGAGCCAGGCCTGAGGACACTGCAGGTGCTGCCAGGAGGAGGTGGGGCCTCTGAGATTAAAGGGAGGCTGAGGCAGGAGGGTGCCACAGGTTGGAGGCGTGAAGTACACAGCGAGTCTGTCTCAAAAAGCCAAAGTCCACTGGGTTGGGGAGACTTTTGCAGGGAGGCGGGTGAAGTCAGGAGAAGACGGCAAGCAGGCCTCGTGGGCTGATTTCTGAAGCCCAGTCCCCCTGTGCTGTGGGAGAGGACACAGCCGGGGGGCATAAGCCCCAGGAGCTGCCCTTTCCATCCTGGAGACCAGGAGGCTGAGACGAGCGTTCTGGGCTGCGCTCCCTCCACAGGCTCCAGGGAGACCCTCCTGCCTCTGCCTCTGCCTCTTCCCAGGGAGGCCCTCCTGCTTCAGTCTGCCTCCATCTCCACATGGCTGCTCCTCTGTGTCTGTGCCTCCTTTTCTGTCTCCCTTGAGGACGCAGCCGTTGAATCCAGGAGGCTGAGACAGGACAGTCTCATCTCTAATCCTCCTCTAATTCCCTCTGCAGGGGCCCTGCTACCAATCAGGCCCCAGGGTGACGTTCTGGGTGCCATGAATCTGGGGCTCACCGTGTAACTCACTGTACAGCCCCAGACAACGTGTGCACATTCAATCCTGAGAGTGTGGCCTTGTGTGGCAAAGATATCTTTGTAGATGAAATTATGTGAAGGTCTTGAGCAGATCCCACGCTCGTGTTGTGGGTGGCCCGAAATACAAGGAAACGTCCTTACCAGGAACTGGAGTCATGCTACACACTGTCAGCACTCAGGAGGCTGAGGCAGGAGGATCTCTGTGAGTTCCAGGCATCCTGAGCTCCATGGTGACCAGTCTGGTCCATGTTGAGAGAACCTGTTTCAAAAAAACAAAGATAGGGCCAGGGATTTAGCTCAGTGCTGCCACTGCCTGCTTTGCAAGCACAAGGACCTGAGGTTAACCCCCAGAACCACCACCCCAAAAGTATTCTTTACCAGATCGGCAGAAACATTTTGAAAATACTGACAGCAAATAGAGTCCCTGGTGTTGGTTCTGAGGCTTCTCTGTGGACAGAAACTGAACTTTGCCACAGGTTTGAAACCTGCTGTCAGATCTGAGTCCAGAGCCACTGGGGCTGGCCTAGGCTGCATTTCAGCCCCCGGGGGATTTAAAACAGCATTGATAACACAGCGAAACACCACCGGCATCCAGAGCCGACAGCACAGGGAAAGAAGAGTCTTTGCTCTTGGACTTTGTATCAAAGTCTTGCCTTTTTTTTTTTTTTTCTTTTTGGTACTGGGGATCGAACTTGGGACCTTGCACTTGTGAGGCAGGTGGCGGAACCACTGAGCTACATCCCTGGCCCTTTTTAAATTTCTTTATTTGCCTATTTTAGAGGCAGGGGCTCACTCTTTAGTCCAGGCCGGCCTTGAACTCACTGTGTAGCTTGGTCTGGCCTCAAACTCACAGCGACCCTCCCGCCTCAGCTTCCCAAGTGCTGGGATGTCAGGCGTGCGCCACCGTGCCCGGCTTGCTGTTTTAAGTTTAAACAAGCAGGAATCCTTTCAGAGGAAATCCAGGAAAACAACCCCAAGGGTGACGACGCTGGCGTCCCTTCCGAGCCAGGCAGCGAGGTGGGCAGAGGAAGCTGAGCTGAGGTCCCCACCGCCGCTGCTGCTGCTGCCGCACACGCAGCAGCCACAGAGACCAGAGACACCCTGGTAACGCGCCAGGAGCCCAGCTCAGCGCAGGCCGTTCTGACTCCCTTTCTCTGTTTCCTTTATTTTATTTGAAATTTTCAAAATTAAAAGTAGGATTCACATACCGTGAAGCTCCCCAGTGACATCGGACAACTCAGCAACAAACCACCTCCGGCCTGTCTCTGCCCCTGCCCAGCCCTGGGAACCTTCACCCTCTTCCTGTCTCTGCGTTCGCCCGGCCCACTTCCTGTCTCTGGGCTCGCCCGGCTCACTTCCTATCTCTGGATTCCCTGTCCCACTTCCTGTCTCTGGATTCGCTGTCCCACTTCCTGTCTCTGGATTTGCTGTCCCTCTTTCTGTCTGCGTTCGCCCGGCCCACTTCCTGTCTCTGTCTCTGGATTTGCTTATTCTGCAGTTTGCAGCACCGGACCGTCGCACCCTATGCCCTTCTGTGTCCAGCATCTCTCCCTGAGCCCCATGGACTCAAGGCCCACCCTTGCTGTAGCCAGCGTCAGACCCGATCCTTTTCACGACCACGTAATATTCTGTTTATTCTGTCGTCTATCCACAATAGTGGGTCCCGCTAAGAAGAGGACAGGAGGACACAGACACACGAGGGAAGCTGCCTCTTGCAGCCAAACTCCGTGGAGACACCACACCCGAGTGGACCTAAACTTGTGATGATCTTCCTGCCTCAGCCTCCCAGGTGCTGGGCTGCAAGGTGTGTGGGCCCGAGTGTCTGGCATACGGCACGGTTCCGGGCTTGTGTTCATCCTTGCTACCCACGGACCCACACCCACGACCACTTGGGAGGAGCCGGCTGCTCTCACAGCCCTACAGAGACCCTGGTGGGTGGACGAGGAGGTCATGCTGAGGCACAGCTCTGACCTGCTCGCTCCTGCTCCGAGCTGACCTGGGAGACCTTCTGTCCCCCGGGGACGCAGTCCAGGGTGCAGGCAGGTGAGGCGATGTGTGGGGTCTCTGGCCCCAGGCCCCACCTCCCGTGGGGAATCCACTGGCCTCTGGACCCTGTGGGGGCGAGGACACCCCAGATGCCGAGGTGTCACCACCGCCGACGTACCCGGGGCCTGTCACACAGACAATGACCCGCTGACCCTCTTCACCCCGGTCTGTGCAGAATCTGAGGCTCTGAAAGGACTCGGGACTCCCGAGTGGACACAGCGCAGATCCCAGGAGGGGCCGCCGTCTTGTCACGTTCCAGAACTTTCCACAGGAGGACGTGGACATCAAGGGCTGAGAACCATGTGTGAGGGACGAGTGAAGGGTTGAAAAGGGCCAGCAGCAGGACTCACGAGTGAGGAAAGACGTCCCACCTCCCAGGGTCCACAAGCCCAGCCACCTTGTGTTCCAGAATGTTCCATCCCCCTCCCAGGGTCCTGAGGCGCTGCCGCCTTGTCACATCCCAGGATATTCCTCGGGAGGTCCACTGGCCCCCACGGTGACCAGGACTATCCAGGGCCTGGGACAGTGGCGTGGGAGCCTGGGGTGGGTGATTCCAGAGGGGACCGGCAGGGTTCAGACCCCAAAGCCTTGTGCAGCGGCCTCGGGGACAAAGGTTGGAGGGATCACAGGGTCCCCGGGAGGCTCCGCCCTGCCCTGGAAAACTCCCCGCTGCCCCGCTGCCCCGCTGCCCCGGTCCGGAGCCCGTCCCCGCAGGTCCTGGCCCCTCTCCCTCCACCTCCCCGCGCCTTCCCGGACACAGG